GGTTTAAAACCCTCTGTCAGGCTGAGAAAGCATCAGGAGTTGCCGTGTGTGATCTTCCCAGATGGAAGGAATAGTAAAGAAGCCAGAGGCTGGTATGCAGTCCAGGCAAGAAAGCCAGTCAGTTAAAATGTAAATTGAGGCATCGGGGTGAGAGACAGGCTGTGGGGAAGAGGGATGTAGCAGCTAAAAGTAGAGAGGTCCCTGTTACCTTGGGAGTCAGATGTCAGGCAGGTTGTAGCATGTCATAAATCGCAGGCAAAGGTGAGCGAGGTCACTGAGAGCATTGGGGAGATGCTTGCTCTGGATGGTCAGCCCTTCTCCCTAGTTGAGCGGCCAGGGTTCAGGCAGCTCATAGCCCCATCCTACCAAGTGCCTGCATGTACCACCCTTAGCAGGACAGTAGTGCTTTCCCTGTATGAGGCAGGCAGGGAGTACTTGAGGGAGGAGCTGCACAAGACAGGCCCACAGGTGGCCTTGCACTTCATCTCGGACATCTGGAGCAGCTGGTCTGTGACCCCTTGGCCTGCTGGGCAACCTACAGCCAGATGTGGCAGGATCTGGCCATGGTTGCCTGGGAGCACCTATTCTGTCCACCAACCAGTGTTCCAAGCAAGAGGGTGTTTAGCATTGCTGAGGATGTTGTGACACCCTCCACACCTCCTTGGATCCTGGTTTGGTGGAGCAGCTGGTGTTCCTCAAGATGACAAAGCTGGTATCATGGATGGCCTTGACTATATTGGCCCCAATGCTGGTGACCATGAACCCATGGGTGAGCTCGCCCTGCCCAATGAGCCACCCCTGCACCATGTGGTACATGGCCACCATGATTTCCATTGCTTTGTGGGAATCATCCTTCATCTCAGCTTGAAGGAGAGCCCACTGATGGCCTGACTGATGGCACCAGTGCCCTGTTAGGGAGAGGTAGGCATGATCTCCACTCCAGCTGCTCCAGTTATCTGAGGTGAAGTGCAAGGCCACCTGTGGACCTGTCTTGTGCAGCTTCTCCCTCAAGTACTTCCTGCATGCCTCATACAGGGAAAGCACCACTGTCCTGCTAAGGGTGGTGCATGTAGGCACTTTGTAGGATGGGGCCATGAGTGCCATGAGCTGCCTGAACCCTGGCCGCTCAACTAGGAAGAAGGGTGGCCATCCAGAGCAAGCATCTCCTCAGTGCTCTGGGTGATTTCACTTACCTTGGCAACATGCCTCCTCTTTCTGTCTGTCTTTCCCCCACTGTTCCAGGGTGGCCTGATTGTGCTTCTTGGGGATGGAGGTCTTGGAGCAAGAGGGGAACTCCTTTTTGGGCATGCTCACACTGATGCTAGGCTGAGGAGCAAGGGCAAGGGGGTGGTGCCTGTGGAGATGCATTAGCATCCCCGTGGTGCTCATGTATTTCATTCCCTTGCCCCACCTGGTTTTGGCTTAGCCGTGCAGCCAGATAGCATATGTGGGATCATTTTCTAACTCAAAATGATCCCAGACCACACTACCCCCTCACTTCTGGGGTGCGGGTGCATGTATGGATGCTGCCTTTTCTCCCTCCTCAGCAGGCAGAGACACAGCAACAGGAGAGGACTCAGGTGAGCCACTTGCCTCCACAACCTAAACAGCAACCTCCGCCAAACTGTCTTCTGGGGAAGGAGACCTGGCTCTAGGGAAACTTGGAACAGAGTGGGGCACAAATTCAGATTCCTCCTCGGTCCCCATAATTTCTTTTGCTAGGGCACTCAGGTCCCCTGCTTCCAGATCCAGCTCCTCCTCTGGCACTGGAAGGCTCAGGCTGGGAACTGAAATGGGGGTGGAGGAGACTGCCATGCTGGTGCTGCTTGTCATGCTGGTGGTTATTATTATGGCTGGTGTTATTGGAGGAGGTGCAGATGCAGGCACCAATCCCACCACCTTGCTGCCACTAGCACCACAAGCTTCATACCTGCTAGTGCTAGGAAAGAGTCTAAGTTTGGGGGAGGGGGAACTTTCAGCTCTCCATCTTCCCCCTCTGGCTTCCCTGCCAGAAGACCTGGCTTTCCAGAACACTTCCTATTTCATGTGCTGGAAAAAAATGTGTGTCTGTGTGAGTGTGTGTGTGTGTAATGTATGTGTAGTGTTTTCCTGCAGTGTACAGTGATGAGACACTTCCAAGCAAAGCACTGCTTTTTGTTGGGGGAAGGGGGGGAATAAAGACAAACAACAGGATTTTTGGGGGGAAAAAAGAGTTGCAAGGGATAACAATAGGGAGGGTAGGCAAAGGTAAATAGGAAAGGATTGGGTACAACTTGGTAGGAAGGCACTACCAAGCTGCAAGCTTACAGATGCTGCTCTTTGCTGCTGCTGCTACACAGACACAGATGCAGCTGCAAAATGGCAGAGAGCAGTTCACAAACAGCCTTTTATGGTGCTTCTCTGTACCTCCTGCAGAGCAGTGGGATTGGAAGGGACCTCAGGGACACATTGTTGTCACTGGCCAGCTCCAGAAGTCAATATCAGAGCAGTCCTTCCCCCTCTTCCCCCTCCATCTTCTTAGTTTCTCTTTCCCTACAAACCCGCCTCCGAAACAGTCCAAAACATCCAAAACATTTTGGATCGATCTCTTTAGTTTTGGAGCTGTTTCGGAGCCTTGCTTTTCATTTCAGATGCTGTGTTTCGGCCGCCGAAATGTCCAGATCCGAAACTAAATGAAACAGCCGCCAAAATTTTGCACAACCCTACTGGCTACATAAACTTAGTGGTTTTGGTCCAGTCCCTAATAAACAGGTGCCTGCACATACACATACATGGGCACCTATTTTCCATTAAAATCACCTGCTTGGGCGCTTTTGTTAATCCACTGAGAACCTGTCTGCATATCTAGGACATTTATACATGTGCTCCAGGAGGCATGGGGGGGTGGTACTTTAATTAGCACAGCTCCAAGAGCCACACTAATTAAAAGCACCTAGAGTACCAGGTGTATCAGTATCCACGTACTGAAAAATGGCAGCAGGGTGCTTTGAACTAAAGTTCATCAAATGAGCTTTAATTTAAAACACCCCACTTACATTTTTCAGTGTGGATCACTGATGCACATGATGCTGGAGGCTGCTGGAGTGTGTTAATTTCCATGCTGTGGCAGACTCGATGAATCAAGTGTGCTCCAATGCACTGGGATTACAGCATGTCGGAGCAGGCTTCCTGCACGTTAGAGGAGCCCCTAAATATTCTTGAAAATCTGGCCTATTGTGATTCAGCTTGCAAGGAATTTCAGTTAAAAGTCTAGGGACTTAACAGAGCTAATAATAATAACTATTAGTACAACATGGTAGTTGAATAACCGTCTCGCCTCTTTGCATTAGGCATGAGGTATACTCATTGAATTATGAATCTTGTCCATGATTCACCTATCATATCTAGTGAAAATATTTGGTATTAGTTACTATGTAGTGGAGTGTATGGAACACCAAAGTATTTCCTTAGTAAGAGATTAAGAGAAATCTCTAGTAATTATGTAGTAATGGTGAAGAAATACAAATTTTTATGTTATATATTCTTCATAGGTAGAGTAATTAAATCTTCAGCTCTGTAATTTGTCAACCCAACAACTTGCTCAATGAATAAATTAAAATGTATGTAAATAATAAAGGTAATAAAAACCACAGAGAACAAAGACAAACTATTGAAAATATATTTTAGAATCAAGTACCTTAAAGTGTTGTAAAATGCCAGGCCAGATAGTTAAAAAATAGTTAATTGGTGTTATTATGGTTTATTCAACTAAGCCATGAAAGCAACATGATTGAAAAATCAATAAACGTGTCTGAAATTGTAATATAATTAGTAGCTCTGCCAATCAGTACATTAAGTGCCTCATAAAGAACTTCCTACAAGGAATTAAGTCAATATTAAATGCCTTCAAATAAAAGTAATAATTTATACATACCTCAGTTTTTAAAATGGTATATAGCAAAGACTTCAGGTATTATATTACACACAGTTAGTTGTTGAATATTTTGATGCCATTTGTTTAATACATGCAGGTGGAAAATCACATTCAGTTCCTATCAGTTTCAGTGAGATTACCACTTACATTACATTGCAAAGCATTAAAGAATGTTTAACTTTGAGCAAGTTATCTCCTTAGCCCCCAGTTCAGTTGCCATTGAATTTTATGGGAATCTTTCTGTTGTCATCAGTTGGACGTGCACTGAGAACTTAGGGCACTGACAGACATACAGCTCCCCGCTCTAACTCATGGTGCTTCACAGAAGGTGCCATGAGTTAGAACAAACCCACCCCTGACCCATCAGACATTTGTTGTTGGGTGGGGTGGGGGAGGGGCCAAGCTCCACTTCAGAGCCAATCAAGCAGAGGAGCCGTATGCCTGCCATTATTCTAGCTTACGTTGAAAAGTGGAATGTTATTTCATCCTTCTTTGAATCATTTGTATAGCACAGTCAAAGTTAATGGATGACATCGGACAAAGAAAGATGACAACTGACAGGTTGGTTTAGTCACCAATTCCCTTTTTTTATAGTGCCACCAGTGATTCGGGTATATCCTGAAACTCAAGCACAGGAACCTGGTGTATCTGCAAGCCTCAAATGTCATGCTGAAGGGATTCCTAATCCCAGAATCACCTGGCTAAAGAATGGTATTGATATCATGCCAAAACTATCCAAACAACTAACACTCTTAGGTAAGAAAAAAATACTGGTTAATTTACATGCTATAGGAGTTAAGCAGGATTGTTTGCACTTACAAATATAACTTATTTTCCTTTTACTTTGTCACAGGGGCTTAAAAACACTTTACATAGAAACCGTTTTCTTCCTTTTTTATCTATTTCTCTGCTGAATTTCTCAAGTATGATACTGATTGATATAAGTGGTAACAGCATTCTCTTAAAACACAGAATGCCTTATTCTTGAGTGCCTTGCCCCTCGTGTAATTCAGTGCAGATCAGAAGGACAATATATTACATCCTTTTTGTTTAGGTGTAACTGTTTATGCACGATGCAAATCAACTGCAAATCAGGCTCTGAGTCATGCATCTTGTTTTCATACTAATAACTGCAAATGAAATTATTCCTTGCTGCTAATTTTGGACCTCATTTTCAAAAGCTAAGTGAAAAGCAGGGTCACATGTGAGTTCAACTTGCACGTTAGCATTTTGTGGGGAAGTGCAAAGAATGCTAAGTTCTACTTACCCACCAAGTGCTGTAATTCTAAACCAACAGTGATGTGGGGTAGCCCTTATGCTGTTGGCCACAATATGTATCATTGAAGCATTGTAGCCAAAAATGTGAAAGCAAGAAAAAGTACTTTAACTGATAGCTATCAATAGGAAAAAAAGATGATCGCCAAAATTATGTAGACAAAATTAATACCTTCAGCTAAAATAGTGAAAAATCAAGTCTACATTGGTTTTATAAAGAAGTTTGTTTAGAATTTGTATGACTTCTTTCACAAATGCAAAAAGTAATATGACATGCTTTTATCTGGGGTAAATCAGCTAAATGCATTCTGTTTGGGTATGGAAATCATCTTTATTTCTTTGTGGAAAGTCTAAGTTTCCTAATAGAAAGAGGCAACATTTCAGCCATTAGCAGTTCACGGGCTCTGATGAAAACTCCTCAGAAACTTTAAGCCAAGCCACAGAAAACATTCTCAGGTGAAACCTATAACTTGCATGCAGGCATGTATCACCAAAGCTCAGGTGAGAAGTTGCCTTTAGGAAGTTAGAGCAGCTGCATAACATCATTACAGTCAAGTGGAACACACCTTATGGATGCCTTTCTTACAGCAAATGGAAGTGAACTTCATATCAGTAGTGTTCGATATGAAGACACTGGTGCCTATACCTGCATCGCCAAAAATGAAGTGGGAGTGGATGAGGACATATCTTCTCTCTTCATTGAAGATTCAGCCAGAAAAACCCGTAAGCTTAATTTTTCCCTTCTTCTTTTTGAGAACCCCACTAAAACAGTCATCAAACAATGGTATCATTACAATTCAGTCCCACAATCATTATATGCAGTATGTGGCTACACCAGTGTGAGTTTTGTCTACACTGGAGCAAATTCTGTTTTTCAGAAAATATACGGAGTAAGAGAAAAGACTCACTTTAGAATCACACGAGGCCGTTTTATGTGACAGCATGTGTTGAAATATGGGTATGGAGAGTATCTTTACTAAAATAATACACTGCTAACACTGTTGGCTTTCAAACAATCCAAACCAGAAGATTTCTTCTAATGGTGACATGATTTTAGGGAAAAAATGTCATTGTTCGCTTTATGCAGGTCTTTCCTTTTTCAAGCCAATTATATGCAGCATAATGCAATAGCTGTGAAACTGTGAAACTTTAAGGGACGCTATCAGATTAGATTGGTTATAAGCTTTTAGTTTGTCTACATCATAGGAGTAAAACAGATTGTCAAAACAGTATGATTTTTTTCCAGGTCAACTATTTTGTCATTTACTTCTTGGCCACTGTCACTATTATGTATGCAACAGTGTTATCTTTGCAGTACTTCCCAACATGAGAGTGAACTATTGGAAGGACTGATTAGCTGCCGCTCTGGAGTAATTGCTAAAAGTACTCCTTTCCAAGTATTTGTGTATATGATGCTCCTAAAGGTGCATATTGGTATCGGAGGTTCACGTGTAAACAATACATTGCTGCTTATCTCACCTTCCTAGTATACATATTGAAATAGATAATAAGAAATAAGCTTGCAGACCCACAGCAATACTTTGGAACAAAATATTCTTTTGTTCATTAAATAGAATTCCATACTGTTACTAAGATCATTCATTCTACCTTGAATGCATGAGCAAGGGAATTTCAACTGGCAAATCATTTAATATATTTTGAACAAAAACTCAATTACAAGGGTACCTAAGGATGGTATTTGAACCATAAATGAAAATACAATGTTGTTTCCTAAATTCCCAGAAGAAATACTGCAAAGTGTTTAGATGGTTTACCTGTCATCTTAAGGCTTCAGAAAGATGTTATGTTTGCTTATTGAAAATGTACACAAAATTATTGTCTATACAATATCTACAATTAGATTCAAGAAATCACTGTTCATCAAGGTGTGATCCTATGTGTTTGCACAGGCAAAAATCCCATTTGTTCTAGTAAGACTTCAGGACTCTCCCAAGACAGGAAACTTGACTTTAAGAATGCTTATTTTTCCTGATGTTTTATTTTGCCTGGATGAATGCTATGACGTTTTGACAAACTAAATAGTTCATTTAAACAAGATTATTGATTCAGTTAATTGCTACAGTGCAACATTTGACATTGTTTTATGTTTTTCCTTTTCTTGATTATTTTCTGGCTTCCCCAATTTTCTGATGCTGCAGTTGCAAACATACTGTGGCGAGAGGAAGGTACTGCAGTAAAGTTGTTTTGTTGTAGTGATAATGTGCTTGTCTGCTTTAATAATTCCATAATGGGCCATTCTCCACTGACTTTATCAACTCTCCCAGTTGTCACCCTAAGTATAGACCAGACTTTCAAAAGCCAACCCATTCACATTAGCGTGTCTATTTTGTGATATAAATCCTGGACATAATTTCATATGTATTTTTCCGATAAAATGAGAGGTGATCGTGAAGTATATACAATTCCGCATTTGACAGAACTGTTCATCAGTGTAATTTAATATCGCATTCTTAACAAATACGAAAAAAATCTCCACAACAGAAATAATTAATGGTAAATGAACAAGCACAAACTTCAGTTCAGTATGTGCCATTACAAAAAAGTGTTTCCATCTATTATTTGCCAGGTTTTTTATTAGCAAGCATTAAAGTGTATTATTTAAACCACACAAATTGTGTTCATGTTTGGTGGCTGAAGCAGTAAGTTTTGCTCGTATCATTTCAATATATTCAGGGCACAGGTTGCCCTATTACATGCTGTTTTAATTGGCAATTAAGATCTCTTGTCTTATCAGATTTACAGTGTGCCCCACACAAGGTCAAAGTATGTGCAACTTGGAGACTAATTTAAAGAAAAAGTATTCTGAGCAACTAATGGATGCAAACTTAGAACAGGGACAGTTGAAACCAAAATTGGTTTTCATTTTGTGTGCATGTGCTCTCAATATTGAAAAAGAAAGAGAGTGCTAAGGTGTCTTTATACCAGCTTGCACATGCAGTGACAGTAATTGAGTATGCAAAACTGGTTTAAAAGTTGTGCCCACACTAGCTATTTAGAAGTCTGTCACATGTATACATAGCTGTGGTAACTGCATGCACAAATATCGGGACTGTGGATTTTATTGGCTCTTGTGAATGTGCCCCCAACCCACTTGCAAAGCTGGCTCTGGCCCAAGAAACAACCAGCCTTGCAAACATGTGAATGCCTGCGAGTCCCGGCCCAATCCATAAGGCAATTCCAAATTGTGTTGCCAGGCTTGCACACAGAGAAGCCTGGATATCTCTGGTCTGCAAGTATTACGAAATAAGTCTGGCATAGGCATGTTTTCCTGCTATTCCCAAACAATCCAAACAGAGGAGAGTGCAAAGGCCATTTCATAGCCACTCCTCTGCCTTATCCAAAAAGAAAAATCATATTGCGTTCTCTCAGCCTAGGGCTTTTTGCTTTGCTTTTGCTTTGCCCTTAGGAATAGAGAGGCATAAGGAAAGTGACAGTGTTTAGTGACCTGTAGTTTTTCATCCTGGCATGTGAACACCCAGAGTGTGTCTGTTGTCCAGTCCCCTGCAGTAATACTGACAGCAGATGTGTAAAAGCAGCAGGCTTCAGGTCATTAGATGTGGCAGAATCACTAACCTAAGCAGACTGTCCTGAAGCAGTTTTCCCACACTTATTTCCCAGAACACCACCTGCTAGTGTGTAATGCCCAGTGATGGAGAATGTCCCTTCACAGCTGAGCATCATGTAAATGGCACTGTGGTAACCTGAGGTTAAGATTTGCTTTACTCTATTTAAAGGAGGGAATAAAGAGGAATAAATAGGAATGCAATTGCCCCTTTTTTTATTGCCAAACTGACCTTTTTATTTTAGTTTACTTGATCAGGCCTCATGTATATGGTACTGCATAGTCATTTATATATTTGGTACCCCATAATGTGGTACCAACTTTAATACATATTCCATTCTCAGAGAAGGAGGAATTGGAGAGGGAAGAAAACTTTACATGCAACAAAATAAAGAAAAAAATATATGGTGATATTTAAAGGAATACAAGGACTTTAATTATGTAACATTGTGTAATAGTACCCTAAACAGAGAATAGCTGTTGTAATTCAAACTTGTGTACTTTATAAATTAAACTGTGAACGGTTAGAGGAAAACACATGGCGCTAGTAATGACAGATTTACTGTTGATGTTCTTGAAACAACTCAGCAGGTTCACAGTGAGATTGTTTCAATGTTTTTCTCTACCTAGTAGATATAAAGTTGTAAACTATCTGATCTGCAAATTCATTCTGGAGAAAAGGATCCACTGAACAAATATGTTAGTATTATAAAATCTGACATAGAATAAGGCTCAGTGAGGAAGAGAGGAGCTTTTATTGAAAAAAAATGATTTATTTTTATATTTAAAATAAAATCTCTTATGTCAGATATTATAAACAAATTTTTGGTAGACAGGAAGCCCCATAGGAGCATTAGTCTCATGCCATCATAGATACAGTAGTAACCTATGATGCAAGTAAATCACTAGATGTTACAGTGTATGAAGCAAGCTTTTTCCTTGAAGTCAGAGTTTAAAAACTTGCAGTTGATCATTTTAAAAGGACTATATTTTCAAAACTCTTTACAGAATAACTAAAACAGAAACATGCTATAAGAAGATAATTGGAAGCCTATGTAATAATCAGGAAGCATCCTTCTTTAAATGTGAGGAGCAAGGCCTTTTGTGGGTAGTATCTTTTATTGAACAAACTGGGCAGTATTGCTGGGATGGACATAAACCTTTCCAAATATCACCTACAAAAATTCTTGCCCCTCTCATTTTTCCTATACCATCACAACTTCAGTATCACCCCCAACACTATTTGTTTCCATGGCTTTCCTACACAGAAAATAGTGGATGGCTCTAAAGTAGAATTGATCATCACATTATTGTTGATTTTCAAATTTGGAGTAGCTTCTATTATGCCTAGAGAGAGGCAAGAGGAAAGAACATAATGATCCATGAACAAGGAAAAATCATGTTATCAGAATTGATTCCTTAATCAAGAAAACATCATATTGTGTTTCTTTTTGGTGATTTAAAAAGTAAAGGACACCTGCACCAAGCTTCATCTGTAATGCAATGCTAAGGAAAACCAGGCAATGCATTAGTTTGCCTTTTATTACATGTCTGCTACAGTAAGCCAGACTTGGATTTCACAAAGTGTTTTGAATTTGTTACCAACTATAAAGCTCCATATATTAAAAGAAAAAATGGTTCCTACAGTTTTTTTAAAGCATTACGGGCTTATTAGGTTTCCACCAACATCACTGAGAGCAGAATTTGTCCAATTGGCTTTGTACAGACAGTATTGTAATAAATTTGGGGGGCTAGATCAGGTTAAAAATGGTTCCCTGATCTAACTCAGTAATTCTTAGATAGGTGCCAGGGGTCTGATCTAAGGTAAATTGGGGGAGGGAGAGGGGCAGCCAGGATCAAGGGGAACTAGCAGGGTCTGTTGGGTGGGGGGAGTTGGAGGGAGTAGGGGGCTAACATTGTCTGCAGGAGGGTTGGCAGGATTGGGGGGCTAGCAGGGTCTATGGAGGGCTTGGGAGAATTGGGAGGTTTGGCAGGATCAGAGATCCACTCCAATCCCACCAACACCCTCCTCCCAGATCCCTCCAGTGCCCTCCCTTCCCACCCAGTGCCATCAAATTGCCCCTGACCCCTCGTATCTTCCCAAGGCTGGTTTTACCAGCATTTTCCAGTGTTGGGAGCC